AAGTAACTCATTTTGTCAGCACGTCTCACATATGATTATCGTATACTGACAAAATGAGTGACTTCTCCAATTCTATCCCCATGGAACTTGATACATCACGCTTATAGGCGAAGTTTATACTATCTATAAGAATGAAATCGTAAAGGGCAATCTATGCTTTAAGAATATGACATCAATAAGACATCAACAAATTTGACCTTAGTGTCGATTTTTGGTCAATATCTACATTTGAGGATAGCGAGAAGTAACCCATTTTGTCAGCACATATAACTAATGTAGATAATTTACGCCCTCATTGACACGATTTGGATCATTTAGGAGGTGGGCTGCTTGGACTCCACCTACCAAGGCCAATCTGGGCTCAGAGGGATACAACGTCCGAGCAGACAGTCGGAGATAAGATGCTCGCATACGGGGTATATGGTCGCTTTTAAGCCCAAGGGGGCTATCCCGCCAAATGCTGTTTTGAAAAAATCGAAGGTAAAGTTTTTGCCAGGGTTCAGTTTCTTTACAAGACAAGGAGAGTTTTCTCTATAACCAAACAAATATACACACCAATGAAACCAAACTTCTCCTATAGGTAGACCAATTCCCACTTTTGGTGTAGGTCAAGATTGCTGGAAACCCCCGAAATCTGGGTTAGCCCGCTTGTACCTAAAAGCGATCATATTAGATCGTGAAGCGCATAGAGCATGCTGTTGAGCGGGGATTTTTCGCTATACATAATATGCCATCTATTGTTATTATTATTAGATAAGATGCTCGCATGAGATACGTTATTTAGGTAAGACCCTTACCTCCAAGCACCACTGAGCAGCAATTCCAGAAAAAATGGGGGAGGGGGGTAGTTCAGAAAAAAAGTAGTTATTCTAAAAAACGACGGCACCTCCTCATTCGGGAATCGGACTCACCTCTTCTGCGTTAAACGTTGAACGCCTCCGTTACACCATAGACACTCACTGATGGTGCCAAAGACAGCGAAAGATCTTGTTAGTATGTTGGTGTTTTAGCACCTATTAATGGCTGCTTGCACTGTATGCTTCCCAGTAAGTAAGTTGAGGTTGTTTCAGAATGCTTTCAGGTCTGCTGGGGTGATAGCACTGATTGTGAAGCGTAAAGAGCTTGCTGTTGAGCGGGGATTTGCGCTATACATATGCTATTATTATTATTATTATTATTATTATTATTATTATTATTATTATTATTATTATTATTATTATTATTATTATTATTATTATTATTATTATTATTATTCATACTGTCATGAATGCAGGGTATTCAGTCATTGGCAGATTAGGGTGAATAACTTCATTTCGTACGTCCGTCATATGATTGTTCATGTGTATGCATCCGTGTATGCAGATGTGTGCGTGTGTGTGTGTGTGTGTATGTGTGTATGTGTGTGCGTGTGCGTGTGTGTATATATGTGTATAAGTGTGTGTGTGTGTGTGTGTGTGTGTGTGTGTGTGTGTGTGTGCATGTGTGTGTGGGCGTGTTTGTGTATGTGTGTATGTGTGTATACGCGTGCGTGTATGTGTATGTGAGTGTGTGTGTGTGTGTGTGTGCGCGCGTGCGCGCGCGCGTGTGTGTGTGTGTGTGTGTGTGTGTGTGTGTGTGTGTGTGTGTGTGTACGTGTATTTGTGTTGACGAGTGCGTTTCCGTGTGTGTATTTAAGATAAAGAAAAATTTGACAGAACCATTCAGAAAGCCAGCAAGATCTCTGGATATGATTTTATTAGAATGGATGAAATGTATAAAGCCACAAGTATATAAACGATAAAAAGTACTATAAACGACCCATCGTGCCCCATTTCCCAGCAAAGTGAGAGATTACGCAGCGGCAGATATGTACCTCTTAAAACAAAGAAAGAAAGATAGAAAAGAAGGGGTTTTTTTTACCATATAGCATAAGGCTATTGTCAGAATAAGCACCAATGTGTATTGCTCTTTCGAGTACAGTGGAAACTTTATATAACAGGCCCTGTAATAACAGGGATCCTGTAATAACGGGGATTTTTAAATTCCCCATTTTTTTCTACTCTTTGTTTGTAACTATTAAAAGTTATCGGCAATAACAGGGCATCATCGGAGCCCAATCGGTTAAAGCAGGGACAAAGGATCGTAACAATGTGTAAAAAGTAAGAAAGAGAGAGAGAGGGGAGAAGAGAGAGAGAGAGAGAGAGAGAGAGAGACAGAGAGAGAGACAAAGAGAGAGTCAAAGAGAGAGAGACAGACAGACAGAGAGAGACAGAGAGACAGAGAGAGAGACAGAGAGAGAGAGAGAGTAACGCAGTGATAGAGCAAGCCCACGCAAGCCACGCTACATGTACTGCAAGCCCACGCAGCGGATGAAATGAGAGAGGGCTGCGGTGTGCTGCACACTTCGATCTAGCCCTAAGCCCTAAGATATATAAAATTTGTTTAACTTGCTACAAGTGCTTAATTAAATGATTTATCACCGGACTTTCTAAAACAGCTTTTAATACCCTATGTGCCTCCTAGAACGCTCAGATCATCAAGTGACAAAACAACCCTTGTTAAGCCTAAAATAAATTACAAATCATATGGCCAACGCACTTTTTCATATTTTGCCCCACTTGTTTGGAATAGGCTTCCAAAAACTATCAGAGAAGCAGAAAATCTAGAAATTTTTAAGAAGAAACTAAAATCATTTCTATTTTCATCATATTTCGATTAGACAGAATGCATCCAAGCTGTAGATCGTTGTGAGTTTGTATGTGCGTATGTGCATATGTACGTATGTGTGTGTGTGAGTATGTATGTGCGTGTGGTGCGTGCGTGAGTGAATATGTGTTTGCATGAGTATGTAACACTATGTACCTTTAAAATTGATTTTTTTTGCATAAGTGGATATGCGCTATATAAATGCAATCCATTATTATTTATTATTAAGCCTAGTTACACACACGCGTAATAGCTGGATTAATACTTATTTCCCTTGCATTTCTGATTTAACAGGGATCTGATATAACAGGACTTTTTCTCTGGTCCCAGCATCCCTGTTATATCCCTGTTTTCTCTCTCTCTCTCTCTCTCTCTCTCTCTCTCTCTCTCTCTCTCTCTCTCTCTCTCTCTCTTTCTCTTTCTCTCTCTCTTTCTCTCTTTCTCTCTCTCTCTCTCTTTTTCTCTCTCTGTCTCTCTCTCTGTATCTCTCTCTCTTTCTCTCTCTGTCTCTATCTATCTCTCTCTCTCTCTCTTTCTTTCTCTGTCTCTCTTCCTCTTTCTCTCTCTCATACTCCCCCCCCCCCCCCCCCCCCCAGACATACAGCTACTCCCCCATAGTTTAACACACTAATCTACTACTATGAC